AACTGTAAGGGGAAATCCATCTTTCTCATCACACACAGCAGGTAATTCCACTCAACTGAATCGAAAGTCTTCCTTAAATCGACTTTCACAGCACATCTAGAAGAGAGATTAGTATTATGATAGTTGTGAACCACCTCCTGGGCCATCAGGATATTCTCAGTAATACTACGACCCTGGACAAATGCAGACTGATTCCTGCTTATTACTTTTGGTAACACTGTCTTAAGCCTATTAGCAATAACCTTGGCTATGATTTTATAGATCACATTGATGCATGCAATCGGCCTGAAATAGTTCAAATGATCTGCATTTGGTTTTTTAGGAATCAAGGTTAGAGAAGCAGAATTCATACCTCGCGGTAAAGAACAATCCTCAAAAAATTGCTTCACACCAGCCACTACTCTCGGTCCAATAGTCCCCCAACTCTTCTGATAAAAACAAGCATTCCAGCCATCAGGCCCCGGTGCCTTCGAGGGGTCCATGTCAAATAGAGCTGTTCGTACTTCTTGATCTGTTATCGGTTCACACAGCTTGCTGCGGTCTAAGCTACTGAGCTTACTGGTAATACATTGATCAATCAGAGCATCATTCACCTGTACAGCCGAATTGACTTTGCCAAATAAGTTTTTGTAATAATCAATGGCCTCATTTGCAATGTCTTGAACCTCAGTCAGCACCTCTCCTTCTGATGAAATGATCTTCCTAATCTGTTTCCTTGCTGATCTGATTTTAGCTAAGTTGTGAAAGTATGAAGAGTTTTGATCTCCCAGATTTAGCCATCCAACTCGTGAACGCTGTCTGAAAAATGATTCTTCAGCCTGCTGCAACCTGACATAATCTTCAGTAATCAACTTGACCTCAGCAAAATGTTGCCCCGAGGGACTTTCAAGAGCTAACAACTGAGCTTCCTTCATTTGATTCTCCTTCATTCTTGTTTTGCCAGTGATATCCCAAAATTCATCTTTATTGAGCTGCCTAAGCTTCTGCTTCAATAGGTACAAAGTTTGCTTTAAACCAAATAGCCCTCTTCCATTGACTTCAGTATTCCAGCATTCCTCAAGGATAGGCCAATATGACTTATGCTTCAACCACATATCATAAAATTTGTAAGGCTTTGGGAAACTTTTAGTAGGCAACTTTGGTGAAACCAGGATCCCACTATGATCTGAAAAATCTGGGGCGAGATACTCAACAGCCGAGTTGGGAAACATCTGCAACCATTCTACATTGATCATTAGCCTGTCCAATTTCCTGGCTATCGGATTGTCCTGCTGCTGGTTTGCCCATGTGAAAAACGGGCCTGTGGCTGCGTGGTCAAGAATCTCCATCTGCCTTACCCACTCTCTAAAATCAATGGTGCTGGAGGATATAGCCACATCATTTGATGCCTCAGATGGATGGAGGATGGCATTGAAATCCCCCCCAACCATCCAAGGTGCTCCCTGAATCTTCCAACGCTGTAGCCTGTCATAGGTTCTCTTCCTATCCTTCTCATCATTTGAACCATAGACTACTGTAAAAAAGAATTTCTCATCACTGTTCAGACTCACAACAGCATGTATAAAATTCTCTTCAGTTGCCAACTCCCTGAACTCAACATCATCATTCCAACCAATCCATATTCTACCCAGCTTGTGCTTACTATAATTGTCAGCAAAACGAAAACCTACAAACTTCTGCCTTATTTCATCTATCTTTTTGGTTTTCTGTACTCTAGTTTCAAGTAATGCAAAAAGAACTACCCTATGAGTATGTAGATACCTAAGCACATATTTGTGCTTCGAAGAGCTATTAAAGCCCCTCGTATTCCATATCAGAACCCTCATTTGCGTGGATTAGCCACCTTAGTGGCTCCTCCCTGACTTCTCAATCCCTCCCTGTTTGTTTTCTTCTTTGGAGGGGGTTGTAGTTTGATATCCCTGCTTCCACACAAAAGTTCAAATGCATTCGCATGTATCACAGCAGAGGATGCACCCTTAGCACTCTTTGTGGATTTTTACTATTGTTGGTTTTTTGGATTTCTGGGTTTTGACGGAGGAGAAGAAGGGCAGAACAACTGGAATAGAAGGAGCTTCGTTGCCGGCGAGTACTTGGTCGGGAAGTTGGGATTAAGGGTGATGCTTCCTATTAAACCCAGATTCGACTTGTATGACTTAGTTGTGTTGTTTAGGGGAAAACTTGAATGGTCGTAATGGTTTCCATTTCCAACAGGGACGGAGCTGGGATTTGAAATTAGGGAGGGCTGGCAAAAAAAAATTCCCGCGGCACAGTGAAAATACATAACTAATTGACAAAATTTATTCATATATTTATTCAAATACCAACAATTTAAATACGAAAAATAATATACTAAACAATAATTTATGGATTCGATTACAACTTTTATTGCTATCAAAATGTCATTACGTCAATAAGAACATGCAAGTTAATTATAAATTGATATCAATTTAGCACTACATTCGAAAAGTGTAAGTTAATGAAGAAAATATTTCAATAGATTGTTGAAAAAAATACACAAAATGTGTTCACATATTTATTCAAATAAGGATTATGATGACAGTTTAACCATAAAATAAAAAGAATAGATTACCCGGTATGGGGCAAAGAGAACAACAAAGTTAGCAAGAAGAAGAGGTCTCGTGGTGGAGACTCAAAATCCATCAAGTCTAAGAGTCAACTACATCATTTGATGCATTCAACGCTCGGGACTTGAGACACAACCTCGCCGACGAGAACCTCAAAGGAGGTCTTAAGTTGGACTGAATACTTGAAGGCAGTCTTTCGACGATAAGACATGAAAGACGCACTAGTTAGGAGGTACCCCAACAACCAGTTTGCATTTCCTTTACCTTATTCAATAATAAAACTTGCACGTTTGATTTTTCTTTAGGCAGTATTTATAGTCTAAGATAGTTAATGAATCCCTTTCATGTTAAGGATAGCATGAACGATTGTTTGAAGACTATCTAGTTGCTCAAAGAATGGTTGCAAATGTTATTGTTAAGCTAGAGTGCTAGCTAGTAGCTACCAACTAAGTCACTTTGGGATAGGAAATGGCATGGCTAGTTCAATAGGATCACTTTGGGTTAATGGATTCCCAACGGCCTGATCTCGTCTCTCACGAGCGTTGACGTGGCTACTACAAGCCTACAACCACTGATTTCACTTAGACACTTTCTTAGATGACGAGGATCCAAATTGCACGGGTTTTGATATGAGGACTTATATTTGAAAATCTGAATTTTTGGTTATAAATATTTGGATGTAATCGTCAAAGTACACCTGTATAGCCATAATTATCGATTTTGTGATGATAATAATAATAGCCAATTTCTTAAAAATAAAAAAAGTGTTATTTCATCCAAAACTTTAACGAAGTCATTTTAGATGCTGACTATACTATCATTTTCTTGATTTGGCGACACTTAATCAAAAATATTTATAGGTGAAATTAACTAAATTCACTTGCATAGCCATTAGCCATAACTATCGACTTTGTGACTATAATAACAACTTTTTGAGAAATACGCAAAATGACTAGATTTTGGAAACATGTTTGACAAATTTAGCCGCTTCCGTTAAAAAAGTTTAACATCATTAGAGGTTCAGTCAGCTACATTAACAAGACGCTGATGAGGATGCCACCTTGATACACACGTGAGCGACAACTCGAGATGCTATACCACGTGGACACCACATAATTTTTAATAATTTTTTTTTTATAAATCCTATTATTCTTCTACCTCCACTATCTTGCTTTTTGAGTCCCTGTCCAGCATGTTGATGTCCGCAACTGCTTGCTTCTCCGACGTTCTGGTAAATACATTTCCCCGTTGTAGTCGTTGCTTGTGACCAATCTTGTCATTTACTTAAATAAAAACCTATGATAATAATCAAAACACGAGTTGGGTCAGGTTCTACGAGGTGTCTAACTCAAAATCGCACCAACCTAAAAGTGGCGGGTTGTACAAAATAATACCCTCACTCAACGTTAAATCATAATATTAACGACAAATACATGTGAGTTGAGTCAGATTGGACGAATAAATCGATTTATTTGTCTTTTTGTTCACCACTAGATGGAACGGGAATTAGCATAAATGGTAACAAACCTTTATACTTAGTACAAAATGGTCACAAATCTTTAATTTGTAACAATACGGTAACAAAACTTTGAAATTGTATAAAATGGTCACCGCTATTTAATTTATGACCGTTTTGTTTTAAGTGCAAAGGTTTGTTACCGAATCGTTACAAATTAAATGTTGGTCATGTTTTGAGGTCGGGTAGTTTGTTCGTTAAGTATATGACACTAACCACTTGAACGACATATAAGATGTCAGGTCATGTGTTCATCGACATATTTACTTTGCCGAATAAGAATGCCCTCAGTTGACCTTTCAATTTCGATACCAAGAAAGTAAGAAAGTAGACATAGTTTTTCAACTAAAAAGCAGTCCGGAACCCGTTTGTGAGCCATTGAATTCTCTCATTGTCATCCTAAACAACATAATATCATTCACATACATTAACAAAACCACCATTCAACTAGAGTGAATTGTAACGGTGATTGAGCGTTCAAACTTTTGAATTTAATTTGTACAAAACAGTCACCAAAAGTCTAATTTACAACGACACGGTAACAAAAGTTTGAACTGGTATGAAATGGTCACACTGTTTAATTTGTGATCGTTTTGTTCTAAGTAAAAAAGTTTTGTTATCAAATGGTTACAAATTAAAAGTTTGTGACTGTTTTGTACTAAGTGCAAAGGTTTGTGACCATTTATGCTAATTACCCATTGTTATATGTCCCTTGTATGCCACATCAGTATCGTCGGGTGACAGGTAGCGTTCTCTGTTTATGTGGGTTTTGACTTTTCACTTTTCAGCCAATCTCCCAGAGGACTTCCTCTGTGGGCCGGCCCAAATTCCATTGATCGGCTTTGAACTCCATTACGCCCTTAACACAAACAAACAAAAAAAGGTTCGCGCGCTACACCCGGTCTTCGTGTACAAGTCTCTAGAAGCAGCGTGGACCAGTTACAGCGTATTAGCGTGGACTTGGACGTCGCCATCTGGAACCGTCGGAGAAGCTGCGAAATCAGTCCTAGACCGAGAGGACGACGGAGCTTCAGCCATCGGGAGCTTATTTTGATCAAGCTCCCAATGGCGGATGGCAGGCTGCGGTGCCAGCGAATTGGCTGCGACGCGACCTTCACCGAACAGGACAATCCTGAAGGCTCGTGTCAGTATCATGCCTCGGTAAGGCGCCCGTTCTGACTTCTTCTTGGCTTGAATTGAAAACATTCCTCGCATTCGTCTAGATACTGCTTTGAACTTAGAATTTGTTTATCATTCCAATTTCCGTATCGCTTGTGCGCATTAGGTTAATTAGGAAGCCTTGGTGCGAGACTTTGACATAGCTAATTGGGTTGTGGATGTTCATTCAATTCTAATGCTTCGGGGTAATCCTCCTGTTGTGCTGTTTGGAGTTAGGTATGGTTGAATAACACTTCTCATCCTTGCCAAACTTGATTTGTAATTTGTGGATGGCTAGCATCTTGTAATACCAGCCTGAACTAGTTGACTTGTGGATTCAGCCAAGTGGCGTTGCCAATGTTACTATCTCTGAAATAGCTATGTTGGAATCCTGTTTAGCTTCAACAAGTTGTAGTTATTGACAATGATTTTGCTATGACGTCCCTAACGAGTTTTAGTGATTGTCCTTTTCGTTGCATGGTTCGACTGGGTTTGGATGGGTGCTGGTCTTTGCATCAGGGTGTAAGTCGCTTGGGCTCCAAAAAAAAAATTTATATTCTTCATCTTCAAATCTTATATGCTTTCCATTACTTATTTTGAGTCTATTATCTGATTCTGGATGTCGTTTCGACAGCCCATGTTTCATGATGGAATGAAAGAGTGGAGTTGTTGCAAAAAGAAAAGTCACGATTTCAGCTTATTCATGGAAATTCCAGGGTAAGTTTCTGTGCAGTCTTTCTCTCTATTAGCAATTTGTTGAGCAAAGATCTTAGTGCTGAACTTGTGAGATTATAAGAGGTTCAGTAGCTCCTAGTCCTAGGCTGTCTTGCTGAAATACAGTTTGCTTCGGTTATCCTAAAAACAAGGAATTGAGATCATCACTGCTAATTCCTTTGTTGATTGATTGACCTGAATTGATAATCTCTCTAACAGAAATCATTTTACACATTTTATATTCTGATTGTATTAAGTGCTAATAATTGCTCTTGTATAGATGTAAGACAGGTAAACACACTACCGAGAAGCCAGTGGTGGCAAAGGTGAATCCATCCCCAAAGGCTCCTGTCTCTAAACCCTCTGTGCCTTCTACGACAAGTGCGCCCTCCAGAGAACTTTGTCCAAGGTGCAAGCAGGGTTTCTTTTGCTCTTATCATGGTATTTTTCATTCTCTTCTTTCATCCATTATACTGAAACTACATACTGTCTGGGAGGCATGTGTGATTGGTGAGATAAATTATATGAAAGAATTGCCAGTAATTAGAGCATTAGCAAGGTTCCTGCATTCATCTTTCTTTATGAAAAGAGGATATATATTTATATATGTCTAGGCGGTAATGTAATATTGATAATACCTCTGAACAATCGACATGAAGAGGAACATAATCCATCTGAAGCTTTTATCGATATTTGCTAGGATACTCTAGCTAATTGCCACACAGCATTCAACTGCAACACTTAACTTATAACGTACCACATTCTCCTGTTGTATCTCTCTGTCAAGTGTTCTGTCTTAATGGTGGATGACTAGTTACTAGTGTGTAGGGCAATTATTTGATTTGTTGTAGAAAGTTGTCGGAAGCAGAATTGGTAGTTCGTTGGTGCTTTTGGTTTGTTTTTGTCATTGCATTTGTTGTCTCTAATTACCGAATCATGCATTTTTTTCTACTTAGGTGCACAACCGAAAAAAGATGCCGCCCCAGCTAACACAGAGATTCAAGCTTCTGCTCCTCCTCCGCCTAAGAAGAAAATTAATATCAATGAGCCCCAAACCTGCAGGAACTCCGGATGTGATCAAACTTTCAAGGAAATAAACAACCATGATACTGCGTGCACCTATCATCCAGGGCCTCCTGTTTTTCATGACAGGATCAAAGGGGTGCGCATTTACCGTATGTTTTTTAAGAAGTTGTTTTGGCTATCTACCACTAACTTTCTCCCCTGCTAAAATCCCCATCATCTGCATTTCATTTTGCCAGTGGAAGTGTTGTGACATCCACGTAAAGGAGTTCGATGAGTTCGTGAGCATTCCTCCCTGCACCAAAGGATGGCACAACGCCAATCCGACTTCTTGATCTCGAACACAGCATTCCTCCCTGCATCAGCAACAAGTTAGTCTCTTCATCTCTCCTTCATGGTCAATGTCTGCGAAAAACAGTATCTGCTTCTACTGTAAGTCCGAAACATACATCTCCATTCTCTCTTGGAAGGTCAGATGGGCATTGACTGCAAAGCCTTGCGGCCCATTTATCTTACCGGCCCGAGATCCTGGACTGGTGTTGTAGACTATTATTATGAGGTATTAAATGGTATAATGCAGATTGAACTGGAATAAGGTGAGGCAATAATATACGAAGGGACAAAATAAGAGAAGAGCCAACACCATTTATTCAAGAGAGCCTTTGCAAAAGAAGATTAGGGAATACATATTAGATAGCTATCACGGGTCGTATGATGGCTGCCATTAATTCTCTCTCTCTCTCTCTCTTTCACCATCTCATTGAATGTTTTTCTTGCCCTTTCGTCTTTTCTCTGTCCCCAAAAACAGAACTGCTGTGGGGCAGCCCTACCCTTTCCTCAACTTCCCTTGCTTGCCCAAATGAACCAAATTCCCCTTACACCTTTGCCCCCCAGAATTAGCAGTTTGGTCCTTCTGGGAGGGTACCCATCCCTACTGTTTAGGGGCTGTTCTCTCTCTCTGTTCTGTTGTGGTATTGAGGCAACAAGCCAACAACTGAACCAACCTTCTTTCTCCTTATCGGGCAGTTGGTGTCTCTGTGTGTGGTTATATTTTACTCGAATCTGGCTAAGGCAACAGCTGAACAGCTCACCCTTTTTTTTTCTAGTGGGAGAAGGGAGAAAGGGGGACCATTCTAGTATTTTTTACCCTTTTCACTCTTCTTCTTCTTCTTCACTGTTACTCTGAAGATAGCATGTGTTTGGTACTGTAAAAACGAACCGATTGATGATGCATGCACCCGGCCACCGGCTAAATATGGACTCTTGTTTTTTTTTTCCCTCTCCGTATCGTCGGTTGGAAAAGGGAAGCTGGGCTGGAGAGCTCTCCTCCACGTGGCGGATCTCCATTAGAGACAAAAAGCAAAGCAGAAGGTGGCGATGAGGAAGGAAAGAGGTCGAGTTTAGAATCTCACAGCAAATCATTACTTTGTTATTATCTTCGACTTTCTCCTCTCTTGTCGATGATCATCATCTCTTTGATTACCGTACTTAGGTTCGACTAATCAATCTCATTAGGTGGTGGTAGAACATAATTAGTACTTCGCTCGTGGGGTTAACAATTGCATGGAGTGATGTGAGCTCGTCGAACTACCTGATGCTAATTATTAATGAGACATTATCTGACTCTTGTCACGTAGGACAAAAGAATAGGATGATGAAATGGATTTAAGTTCCTTATTATGATTTAGGGCCTTCGAGTTCGAAATCCAGAGCCGCAAGCATATAATTACGATCTGGGATCGGATTTCAATTCGGTTCAGTTGATCATACTGTTAACTACTAAAACTCATTAACAATCAATCCCCGTTAAAACCAAAACCAAATCATTGATGGTTTTGGTTAACCAAAATCGACAAAATCTCTCAACCGCTCGGTTTGGTATGAAGGAACCGCAAATTGAACGAATTAGTATGTTGTTTCTCTCGCCATCGTTAAATAGGTTTCGATGTTGTATTGGTTCTGTTTGAACCGAACCCAGTAAATGTGAATCTATCTCAAACTCTTAACACAAAATCGATACTTGGGCACATTAGTGGTTTTAATTTGCTGACTGGTTTATTATTAATTGAATAATAACTCGTAAGGAAAAAGAAAGTGATGATTCATAGAGGTCAATAAATGGATTCTGCCATACAGTGGGGCCCACAGGGTAAAATCTGTTGTAGTAGTAGGGCAAACCGCAAAAAAGTAAAATCCTTGTTCACGCGGGCCGACTCTGCGTACAAAAAAATTGGTTTTAGCTGTAGGCTGTTGTAGCCTTTGCTGACGGCTACTCTCCGGCGGAGAACTCGCCGGTCCCACTTCCCCCCCCCCTCTGTTTTTTTCTTTTCAGTTTTCTTTTCCATCCTTCCAATGCCAAGGAAGCTTTGAATTTTGCTTTCGGCTTTATGGCTAAAAATTGTAACCGCTAAAAAACATGTAAAACAATAATAGTCCTACGCGAGTCGACGACACAGGCCTACGACGACGACTGCTGCTGCAGCAGCCTCTGTTTCCCCCCTCTGCTCCTCTGCAATGCCTGCAGTAAAAGTCAGCCGTCTATTCCCTCCCGTCAAATCAATGGCTCGTGATGGCGCCACGTGGCTCTGGGGGGATTTCTGGCTGATGGATGGATATGATAGAGAGTAGAGGGTGATCTGATGGTGGTGGTCGGACTGAGACGGGGCATACAGTGGATAATGCTGTGGTTTACTATAATGCCCCTCCCCACCGTCCCTCGGCCAAACCGAACAAGCTCAGCTCAGCTCGGGTCAGGACAGGACAGGAATTAAAGATGTTTGCTTTTTACTACAGAAATTTTACTTTCCCCTGAACTCTCTCTCTCTCTCTCTCTCTTGTTTTTACAGTTTTACGGCTGTTTTTCTGTTCTAATAGTTATCTTATCCCCGACAACCCACCAGAAAAGTTTTGCCTTAGGCACACACATAATAATGTGTGAGACTCGTCTCCTCAAACTGTCTATATGGATTTTCATCGTCAGCGACTGCACTTCGAAATGTCACTACGTGTTTGGTAAGCATGTAATCTACCTACAGATTTCAAGATTATATGATATCTGCAATTTCATTGTTTTTCTTGTTTCATTTTTTGACAGATATCATTATATTGGTGCACCATGTAATTCTAGAATTCATGTGACCATGATATCTCAAATGCTTTGGGTTTTACCCAAACTATTTGAGATTTCATGCCAAATTATGTGGGTTCTACCATGAGAACTCATGCAAGCCAAACAATGCATTCTAATATTACACAAGTTCTCACAACTCAACCTACAATATACATGAATTCTTCAAATACATGAATTCTACATTACGTGCTTACCAAACGAACATTTTTTGATAGTTACAAATGCTCAAGACTCTTAATCCAACGTCGGTTACACGTTTGTGCTCCTAACCAAACGTGTTTGAGTTTAAACTATCAGTGATTGCAATATCGACTGGTCGTGATATTTATGAAAAGGGAAATTGTATCCCTTAATTAGAAATGCATCGGATCTCGGATCGAATCACTATTACGTGCGTGTATTTGATGGGTATGCGTAGGGTATGGGATATTGGGTTTAGAGGGTTACTATTATGCATGGGCTTAGGGGTATTAGTGGGTCATTAGTACAATAGGGTCGGGGTGTGAGGTTGCCGAGTTCGGCTAGGAGAAGGGTAAGGGTTGGGTCGGATATAGCTAGGTCATTAGTAGGGTTTGCGGATTGTATATATATATATATATGTAAGTTTGGCATTAGTTCGGATTATCGAATAATAAAGCAAAGGTTTATCGATACCAACGTCGTTCTCCCGCTTGTGAGTTACAAGTAAACCCTTGAAGCGTGGGTTACGTTTCCATTAGTGTTCCGTTAATGTGTAGAGAAAGGGGCACATTGGTATTATCTATTTGGTGATTAGCGACTATGACTGTTATTCTTATTTTCATTTTCTTTTCTCGGACGTTTGAGGACATCGACCCTTACGTGAGAGCATCTATTCTTGATATTGTGATTTCATAAATATGTATGAATTTGGTTTAGGTGAACTCTCTAGGGCTATGTCTATGTTAGAACTTAGGCAAAGAAGCTCCTTTTCCCCATTTTCTCTGCCGTCTAACAATGCATTTATATCTGAACCTAAAATCAAAGCCATGGTTCTACTTCCCATTTCCATAAACAACAATGTCAAGACTACTGTGATGGTAAATTCCTCTTTTTACCGAGGCGCACAGAAAAGGATGGTGGTGGGTTGAAACTCGAAAGGGATAGTCCGGGTGAAAATGAAATTCACCCATCCACCCAATTGCCCAAACCCAACTGTTGTCGTCTCTTCTTGGAGAAGGGGATGTTGCAGGAGAAGCTGCAATGATCGGACGGCTGGGGAGGTCTCTACCCACTCTCTTTGAACCATCTGATCAACAAAACCCAAGTGGGACCCGCCAAAGGTTCAGTTCAGAAACCCTTTCAGAACAAAAATGTTTATTTTTTTCTCTCGTTATAATAGTTTCCTCGTTTATGTAGCCATTACAACAACAGTGGGTTAACTATGCAATGCCATTTTCGACCATGTGAATGATCCATCTCTTCCTCGACTATGTAGGAGGTTGATGCCAGGATTGAATCCGTCACTCATTTGTTATTTGCGCGAAGTAGGGTGAAGGATATTGATTCATCACTCGTTGTTTCAATATTTTGACATATAGGGTAACCAAATATTCTAATGTGGGGATTTTCTTGCAGCAAACTGAAATACATGCCGAATCTTCTCCTTTTATTCGATACTGCACACACTCTAGTTGTTCGTTTATTGATGGTTGCTTTTTCTCATCAGAGATTCATTCTCATATATAAGCTCGAAATACAAAAGTATATTTTCACAGGGATACAATAAATGTGCCTTGCTAAAAGGGTAAAAGGGCTAGAAATTTGGTACCCGATTGTTTTTGGTGAGAAACAGAGCGCAGGGGGGCGCTCTAACCCTTATGTATTAACTGAACGGGGAGACTGAATCCCCAGAGTATCAAAATACAACCAGTATCTCAACGTAGAGCACGGGTTCCCAATCACATGGACCCCTATAGGTAGGTTATGCCCAGCCGAAGCAAGAAAGTCCGCCACTACATTACCTTCACGAAACACGTGCTCAATTTGAACCTCCCACTCCCGTGTCAGAAGACCCCGGATCGCGGCCACCTGGATAAAGTGCGGGTTCCCTGGGGATGCTTGCTGAATGAGCTGAACCGCAATGCTCGAGTCAGACTGCACCTTCACCTTGCGTCAACCCTCCTCCCAAGCAAGATGTAGGCCATGTAAAATCCCAGCTAGCTCAGCATGGGTAATAGATCCACCCCCAAATTAACAGAGAAGTTGTATATCTTACCGAATTTATCACTATTTGGAAATTTTTCGAGTTCTTATTTAGGACTTGATATTGAATTTGGGGTGTTATTTGATATTTATGATTATGAGATTGAGATAGTTATATACCAAAATAGTGAGAAATACCAAAAATTTATAATTAATTAAATATAATCTACAACTTCTAGTCATTGCTCACATTTTGACAACTTGCAAGCCCCCATCAAATTCAAACTTAGCTTCCAAGTTTTTCTAGCTCACTGTGATCTCCCATTCAATTTATTGTTATTTTCATACCATCAATTGGGCACCTTTGATAAATCCCTTCGTTCGAGACTTTTGATTGACGGGTTGTTTGAATGAGATAATTCGATGAGGTATTTTAGCCGAAATAACTCATTTTGCATAAATAAAATGTTATGTGGTATTTTGTCCATAAGGTAATTGAATTGCGAGTTATTTGATATACCTACTCTCCCCCCTAATTACGTCAAATAACTCGTCT